AAAAAAAAAAAAAAAAGTACTTCTAGTAATAATTATATTTTCAATAATCGCCACCAACCATAACATTAATGACAGATAGAACTGCTAGAAGAATGACTGATTAAAGACATAATTTCCAATGGCTGAACATCTAACTATCAAGCACAAATGTATGGAAAGCCAAAAAGCAAGCTAAACTTTACACAGATTTCATATGATCAAAAATGGCAGTTTGAAAAGTGTCAAATAAATAACAAAAAAAAAAAAAAAAAACACTGTATATGACCAAAACAGTTTTATGTTTTACCTTACCAAAAAACAAAAATTAAACAAAAAAATTTACTTCAACCATTAACAGTATATTAGCCTATCCATTTAATGAGCTTCTTTTTTTCGATTTTTTTATTTTGTCACCATCGATTGCTTTAGTCATTCGCAAATAAAAATCTATCGACACCGTTTGAAGGAACGTCATTTGTGACAATATTCAGTAAATTCTTTCTGCGCGCAAAACAATATAACTCTTCATTTGTCTGATTATTCTTATTCTTCTTATTATTATTATTAGTAATAGTACTGATACTTATTAATTATTATTTACTATTTATAACTGCTCCTGTTATTTTTTTTCTCCTACCTAAACTAACCAACACTAAAAATTAAACAAAACAGACAGAAATGTTAATGTTGTCGGCTTTATTTTTGCAGCAAAAAAAAGTCCCTTCTATCAAAAAAAGGAAAAGAAAACCTTCCTCTTTTTTATATTTCTATTTCGACTAAAAAGAGAAAAACGCTAAACGATTATTTGTACTTATCGCATGTTCTCCTCTTTTTGAGGATAATTTGTCCACAAAGTTGCGGCATACTTGGACGGTAGTGGCGGTAGCACTATCGCCTATCTGATTTAGCTGGTTATTTTTATTTATTGTTTTTGTACTCACCACCACAAAATAACTGATTACCGAGGCAGTTCAACTAAAGCAGGAGAAAACTTAAAAAAGCCATTGCCCTGAAATATACTATAAAGGAGAAAGAAATTGGAAATAAGGTAAGACAACAAATTCTTTCTTTTTTTAGCAAAACTAGTTCCACATGACTTGAAGAGTAAAGAAGTGAAAGCAAATGGGAAAAGAGGAAAGCGTATTAACGAATAGCGGCGGCAACTACAACAACTACTTGAGCACTCTGGCTAACTCTTCTTTGGACCAGTACTCTGTTACAACAGCCCTTCAAAACAGTTCAAAAATAGTCGTATGAGTTCCAGTTAACTGAGATAAAACAATAATATAATCCAAACGAGATTATATATCCACTAAAAAAAG